AACAAAAAAAATCTAAACGAATCTTCATATTTAGGTTCACTAAATTTTTGATTTAGTTAATTAATTAATCTTTGAAAAATTCAAATCATTTTTTCTTACTGTGCTTCGATGCATCTACCACCAAAGACAAAATCAGCCCACTGTTGATCAAACAAAGACAGCTTAACCACGCGGTCTTTTCTCAAGTCTCGACCCTATAAATCTCTCCTTCGTCCTTTTATTTTCGATTCATCCACATTCATCGTATTTCATAATTCAGTGAAAACTATTTCTCAAATGGATTCTCGACATATTTCTACAGCCATCTTCTTCTTGCTCTTTCTCTCAGTTACTAACCAACACCCTGCAACGCACAGTTTATCTTCTACCTTCTACGACGCTACATGTCCCACTGCACTCCGTACAATCAGAACCACCATCAGAACAGCCATATCTCGTGAACGTCGCATGGCGGCTTCCCTCCTTCGTCTCCATTTCCACGACTGCTTCGTTCAAGGTTGTGACGCATCGATCATGTTGGAGGACGGGCCTTCGATAGTAGGAGAAAGGAATGCGTTGCCTAATAAGGGTTCTGTAAGAGGCTACGAGTGATAGACGCTGCAAAATCTGAGGTGGAGAAACTATGTCCCGGAGTTGTATCTTGTGCAGACATACTGACGGTGGCCGCCCGTGATGCATCAGAAATGGTTGGTGGTCCGTCATGGTCGGTGAAGCTCGGAAGAAGAGATTCCACACCGCTAGCCTTGTTCTAGCGGAGACCAGTCTTCCTAGCTTTAAAGCTCCGCTCGATTCACTTATTTCCACCTTCAAAGATAACGGACTTAACGCAGGGACATGGTTGCTTTATCAGGAGCTCATACAATTGGACAAGCTCAATGCTTCTTGTTTCGTGACAGAATATACAGCAATGGATCAGATATTGATGCCGGATTTGCTAGCACACGTAGACGTGGTTGCCCTGTAAATGATGGAAACGGCAATCTGGCACCATTAGATTTGGTGACACCGAATTCGTTTGATTACAATTACTTCAAGAATCTGATACAAAAGAAGGGTCTTCTTGAATCGGATCAGGTGCTTTACAGTGGTGGGTCCACAGACAGCATAGTTACTGAATACAGCAACAATCCTTCCAAGTTCAAGTCGGAGTTTGCAGAAGCGATGGTGAAGATGAGTGAGATCAGGCCGTTAACGGGTCAAGAAGGAGTGATAAGGAGGATATTGGTGCTCTTCCCTAAGCTACCTGGTTCATTTAGTCCCCGGTTCTTGTATTTCTCTATGAAAACTGTACTTGTAGTCATATTCATTCATTTATTCTATTCTTTAAGTGTAAAGAAATATAAAGTTTATGAGTATTCTCAACGGTTAAGATTTAATTATTTATCACCACTTTTAATGCAATATATATAGTTATACAATTCTTCTCGCGATCTATTAGTACAACAGGATCTTAAAGGGGTGAGTAAAACTAAATCCGAAAACCGAAAAAAGTCGAAACCGAAAGATAAACCAATGGTTGGGATTTATGTTTTTCAAAAATTGAAAATTTTGGTTTAGGTTCGGTTACGTAATATAAGAAACTGAGAAAAACCGCACCGCGATGTTTATATATAACTCCTTTTTTATATATTTGTATATAAATCAACATAAATAAATTACAAGTATCATATGGTGTCGTGGTGGAGACGAGCCAGTATTTGGAATAGGTAGTTGCACCGGGTCAGATGTTGGCAAGATCGGGTGCATTAGGTGGAGCTTTCGTATGTTGCATAGTGTTCGTTAGGTGTGGTGGAGTTTCCATATGTGGCATAGTGTTCTGATTAGGTGTGGTGGAGTCATCGCAAATCCCACAGACAGACGATAGTGGTTTGGGAATAGGAATAGGCACGGTGGCTGAGGAGTAGGCGCTAGAAAATCACATGAGTTTAGAGGAACATCTTCCAAGAATGAGTGCAATGGTAAGGCGGTGAGAGGTGCATCCTTAGGAGAAGAACCAAATGGAAAACACGACTCATCGAAATCGGGCATGACGAGTGATAAAAAAAAAAAATACGAAACGATACCGGATCGAGGCATTGGTAGCCTTTCTATTGCGTGTTGTACCAATAAAACACGCGGAATGCTTCAGGGAGATAGTTTGTATTCTGAGTAGTCACTAATGTAACACCGTAAATTTCAAAACAAATTTTTCAATTTTCTTCTAAACATAATTCGATAAATTCATCAAACAACCATATTAATTATCCAATATAGGTCAATACAAAATCCCAAGATCACAATGTAAAAACTCAAGTGTGTGTGTACGGATCAAGTCGGCGCCTTCCCGCGGTTCGTCACTAGTACCTGAAACAATAACATCAAACACTGTAAGCACAAAGCTTAGTGATTCCCCAAAATACCACGTTTAACACATAATAGCCACTCGAGGCTATAACTCTGTGGGTCCGTGCACCCAAACTTTATGAACCCTCAGGTTCTAACTCTGATAAACATGCACCACATAAATCACAAAGAATAATGCAGTACAACACATAAATACATTAGCATACAATACTCTATCACATAACTCTGGTTACTACTCAAGGTAGGTATAGTGAGAAGACTCACCTCGCGTATCTCGGTATCTCACGAATCCTGGAAATTCGTGCTCGATCCTCCGAGCTCTAATCCTCCTATAACATCATATGTCTCTAATTAACACTTTATATCTCTAAGGTTGACTATCCCTAAGAAGTCAACACAGGTCAACTCTGGTCAACGGTCAACGGTCAACGGTCAACTTTGACCGGACTCGGGCGAGTGCTACGGCGACTCGGCGAGTCTAGACGTTTTCACCACCCTCCGAATTCCTTCCTACACGTCGAGTATTCCCCCTTTTACTCGACGAGTTTCACCTGGAAGAATCGCGGGGCCACCCCGACTCAACTCGCCGAGTCTCAAGAACAACTCGGCGAGTCCAGTTTGACTCAGTCCACTCGTCATCCCTCTCCAACTCACCCTGACTCACTGAGTCTACCCATGACTCGATTGGACCACTCACCGAGCATCCCAAGGCAATCTTCAAACTACTCGCGAGTCTGATGAACAGACTCGCGAGTCCATGCATGCAACCACTCCAACTTGCTTCTAAGGTCAGATTGCTTCCAAAATCTATAGATCTGGCCTCCTAGACTGATTCATCACGTAAAGCTTCTATCTTGTGCCCATAACACACCCCATGTCTCATAAATGGAGTTTTGACTAAGGCATGAGGATTCCAATCCAAAGCCTCCATTGATTCCCAAAAGCTTGGGTAAAGGGACACTCTGGACTCTAAGGGTCCAGATCTATGGTTCAAACCTCATAAGGGACCAGAGGACACTAGATCTTGCCACAAAAGGGTTCAACAAACCCTAAATCTAGATAAACAACAACAAGGAAGAAGATAACTCGAATTATTACCCAATAGTGATGCTCTGGACTCCAAACCCACAGAAGTGGCTCCTCTTGCTTTCCCTTGGCTAGTTCTTCTCCTTCCTTGCAACAATGACACCTCCAAGATCAATAATGGCCTCCTACTTAGCTCCAAATGCTCACACTCGATTAGGGTTTCACTCAAGGGACTGGTGAGCACAAATGACGGCCATTAGGCCCTTTAAATAGGTCTCAAACCCGAGAAATTAGGGTTTCATTACACAGCGCTGACTCGCCGAGTCCATATCCTGGACTCGCCGAGTCCAGGCGCGATCCGCGTCCAGATCCGCGTCCCTACTCGCGAGTCTGAGCTCTAACTCGCCGAGTCCCCTCTCAAATCACCAAAAACACAATATATAAGATACCTGAAAAATCCGGCTTTTACACATAAATAAGGGTACATCCTAACCCCAAACGGTAGAAAATTCTCATATGAGGGTATCCATTCAAATAAAACTTCAAACGGGTACCACATGGAAAGCACTTTGGAGGGAAGTCGATTGATTATGTGAACCACAAAGCTAAAAGCATGAACCCAATAAGATGTTGGAATGTGTTCGTGAAACATCATAGCAAGCCCAGTTTCAGCAATGTGGCGATGCTTGCGTTCAATTCGCCCGTTTTGTTGCGGGGTATATAAATACGAAATTTGATGAAATATGCCATGCTGGTTTAGTAATGCTTTAACATTGCGATTTAAAATTTCCGTACCCCGATCACTTTGAAAAACCTTAATGTTGGATGACAATTGATTTTGAACAAATTTAATAAACATGGCAAAAATAACATGGAAGTTTAACTTGGAATTGAACGGGTATAGCCACGTGTATCGAGAAAAATCATCCATAAATATAACATAATCGCGACAGGAGTCAACCGAGTTAACCGGTGATGGGCCCCAAAAGTCACAATGGACCACATTCAATACATGTAAAGCACGTTTATTATTATTATTATTATTATTATTATTATTATTATTATTATTATTATTATTATCATTATCATCATCATCATCAAATGGTAAACAGAGAGATTTACCAAGTTGACATGGTGTAACCGATTTTGGTAAAATAGAAGAAACACATAATTCAAAACAGAAATTGTGTCAAATGACACATGCCCCAATCTAGAGTGCCAAAGTTCAAAAGGCGCCTTGGATCTGGTCCTAGAAAAAACGCATAAGCCTTCATTGAGGATGATAGCACATAAACTCCATGATCATATCTTGTGTGATCTAGAATTTGCTTTGCTGCTCAATCCTGAATAGAACAATAAGATTTGGAGAAAAGCACATCTATATCATTTTCATACGTTAGTTTACTAATTGAAAAAAAAATGGTAAGGTGCGGGACCACCATAACATCATGCAGATGAATACCATTAGCAAGTGTGGAAGTCCCAACATGAGAGATAGGAAAAGAATTACCATTTCCAAATTGAACTAAGCCATCACAACCATAATTCTCGGGTTGCGAAACTGAACCCGCGGAAGAAACCATATGATCGGATGCACTAGAATCAACATATCAATCTGGACCAGGAGCATTTAGATGACATTTTGCAAGAAAAGCTTTTGCAAAATCACTTTCATTTGTGGGAGATTGTGCAACTGGTGAGTTAAGAGAACATATTTTCATAATGGCCATTTTGGCGACACGGTTAGCAGTAAGGAAAGCAGCGGCCACAATCACAGCACTGCAAAAGTTACGACCACACCTCATCGACCACAACCGCCGAAATAAGACGATGTTGATGCAGTTTCTGCCGAGAAAGCCACGGTGGTGCTTGGAGGTCCATGGATCAAGTGGAGAAACATTATGTTCCCATCGGCTTGAGCAAGTAAATCATGAAAGGCTTGAGGTGTACAGGCACGAACGGCTTTGGAAAAGGTCTCAAAAGAGCCGCCAAGACCGCAAAGGAACCAATAATTTTTTTTGGGATTCATCAACCGCATCACCAATGGTCGCAAGACGGTCACAAATCGCCTTAAATTTCTCACCAAAATCTGAGATAGTTGAGGTACCTTTGGAGAGAAGACGAAGTGGATCACATAGATTTTGAACACGTTCCATGGAAGAATTTCCATATGTGGCTTCAAGTTCCACCCAAATAGCATGAGCGGTGGAGAGACCCACAACCTCCGCGAATGCCTCCTTTGTTAGAGAAGCCTAGAGAAGGATGGCAACGTCTTGATCAGCAATGAGCCACTTCGCAAATTCTGAATTGACGCTCATCTTGTTATCAACCAGAAGTTGGCGCGACGGGGCTATCGTCAACTTGAGCAAGAAGTTGTTGATAATTAAGAAGTGGGATCATTTTTGTTTTTTCATAGCAAGTAATTCATGGAGGAGAGATGAATGATGATAAGATGAAGGATGGTATTCATGGGAAAGTTGGTGTCTTGGGATGAGAATAAGGTAACCATGATGCAGCCATTAAGCAAGAGAAGACAAGAAGGGTGGGGAAGAAAGAAAGAATTGTTTATTGAGGGAGAGGAAGCGATAAAGTCAAACTCTTGATACCGTGAGATAAATGTAATCTCCTTAAATTGCAGAGGTGTTGTACACAATATATAGGAGGAAAAGTAACACGTATATCCTCGGAATAAATAAAAAAATCAAAACTATAAAATAAATGTTTACTAGTATAATACTTTTTCTTTTCGATTCTGTTGGTGCAGGCCCTGTTTCACTCAGCACAAAACAGAGTAAAAGGAAGAAGACATGGGGCAATTTTCTGTGTATTTTTCTTCAACTAAAAATGATTACAAGACTCATATTTATCTAATCTAAATGCTGAAAGTAAGGAACAACTATCCACTAAACTAAAATAAAGGAATGATGGCCAACATGGCCTTGATTTAGTCAAATGCAAATAACAGGGAAAAAAACACGTTCACCACTGAAGCCAAAACAAATATGTTACTTCTGGATTAACCCAATAATCTCCCTCTTAATCCAGAATCAGATGTGTTCTTCACCCCAAGCTCATTTCGCATCTCCACAAATTTCAGCTTACCCAATGACTTCGTGAAGATGTCAGCTTTCTGCTCATTGTTGTACACAAACTTGACAATAACATCTCCTCTTTCAACGCATTCCTTTATGAAGTGGTACCTGGTATCGATATGTTTGATTCTACCGTGAAATACAGGATTTTTTACAAGGTTGATAGTTGATTTGTTGTCAAGGTACAATGTTATAAGACAAATCCTTTCACCCGTTATCTCACTCAGTAAGCGGTGAATCCAGATCCCTTGACATGTGGCCGAGGTGGCAGCCATACACTCTTCCTCACAAGACGAGAGTGCAATGCATCTTTGTTTTTGTGAGGCCCATGTGATCAAATTTTCATTCAAGTAAAATGGTATTCCACTGGTGCTTCTCCTATCGTTCACATCTCTAGCGTGGTTGCTGTCCGATTTCCCTATTACATCATCTTTACAGCTTCC